CGAAACCACTCTACAGGATACTTGCACTCCAATCACAAGGCATAAAAAAAAAAAGAAATGTAGGCCAAAAAAAAAAGAAAACGAAAAACTTTCCAAACAATTGAACTGTATCTGGTCCCAATGCGCAGAAATTTGACCATACGGATTGCGCCACCAGTTCTCTTACCCCTGTCATTGCACCATGTGCATCTAGACAGGGGCGGCGTCTTAGAATGATTACATTCAGCAAAGTGCCGGCGGCGGCGCCGGCGTCAATATGCTCCACAAATCGGCACGTCCCGCACAGAAGCGAGTTACAATTGAGAGAGAGAGAGAGAGAATTAGGGTTTGACCGTTTGGGATCTATCATCTTTGGGACCAAATTATATAACCCTCATTTAGGGTTTGGGAACTTTGGGACCAAATTGTAACCCTCAATTAGAAACTATGGGACCAATTATAACCCTCAATTAGGGGTTTAGAAACTATGGGACCAATTGGGACCTTTGGGACCAATTATAACCCTCAATTAAGGTTTGGGAGAGCTTTGGGAGCAATCATACGCTGCACTGAACCTTTTTTTTTTTTCTTTTTTTCTTTTTTTTACTTTTTTGCTGAACCTATATATCTGCGGATCAAGAGTTGCGAGCAAAGCAGTTGTAAGTCTCAGGGCATACTCCCACTGCCACTTTTTTTCGACTTCGTCAATCTATCTTAATTGTCTTAGACTCCTCTTATTAGATTCCTAAAAGGAACTTTTTTTTCGACTTCGTCAATCTATCTAATTGATATCAATGGCATAGATGATTAGATTCCTAAAAGGAACTTTTTTTTTTTTTTTTTTTTTTTTTGAAGTTCATTTCATTTCTGATGATGGTGTTTGGCATGCCGTAAAACCGTTTATCTAACAGATTCTAATTTCAAACTTTATTATCAATCTAATATATATTGTAAAGATTGTCCTTCGGCCGTTCGGGACATCCGTTAAAAATGGCGTGATACAGCGAAAGAGTATTAGCATGGCCCCTGTGCAAGGATGACACACAGAAATTGAGAAACGCCGAAACGCGTCTGAAACGGTCAAAAAAAAAAAAAAAAAAAAAAAAAAGCTATTGTAAAGATTGTGTTTGACACTGTTTAGTATGTACTATGTACCATTGTGGTCGATTGACAAGTTGCGTCAACAACACTGTTTATGCATTTCTTATACATTTCTACTATCTAATGATTGCGATGTTACAACTTACAACACTGTTTATTCATTTGAAATCAATGTATTTGACACTGTTTACTGAACTTTATTCATTCTAAAATTTTCTAATCAATGTGTTTAGCACTGTCTATCCACCCGTCCTAACGATTCTACACGAGTACAATGAATGCAACAACACGGTAACTTCAGACTAACTTCAGAGTAACTTCAGAGTACCTCCAGACTAACTTCAGAGTAAGTGCAGAGTAACTTCAGAGTAACTTCAGAGTAAGTGCAGAGTAAGTGCAGAGTAAGTGCAGAGTAACTACAGAGTAACTGAAGAGTAAATGCAGAGTAAATGTAGAGTAAGTGCAGAGTAAGTGCAGAGTAAATGCAGAGTAACTTCAAAGATAGCCCTAAGGAGAGAAAAGCGCTTTCATTTTTCATAGGGCTCCTTTTTGTTTACAAGTATATATTATTATTATTATTATATATATACACCAAACGCAGAAATCAAGGTTCCAATGCTGCTCCATTACAACAACAAAAAAGAAACGAAAAAAGAAAGAAAAGAAAAGAAAAGTAAGACTACATACAAGACAAAAGTAAGACTACGAGAGGTGCTTTCTACCTCCGTACGAAGCAATCACCTAACACAGGCAGGTAAAGGGAATGCATGCCCAAAAAAAAGGAAAAAAACGAGGGAAGGCATGCCAACCAAAACAGATGAACAGGGCAGTTTACTAACACCGTCTAACAGGATCGACTCCTTCCTCACTCACACTGGATGCTCGTAGTAGCTCTTTTCTAGCCGCGTCTTCTCCGCCTCCGTGCCGAACATCGAGCTAGCTTATGCATCCCACCGTCTGCGGTGGAGCCAACGCTGTGTCAGCAACGTATGCTTATGCTCTCTCTCTCTCTCTCTCTCTCTCTCTCTCTCTCTCTCTCTCTCTCTCTCTCTCTCTCTCTCTCTCTGTGTGTGTGTGTGTGTGTGTGTGTGGGAATCCGACATACCGTGGAAATCAGTGGGCGGGCCCTTGCTGTAGAAGCATATTTCTGTACACGATGCTCAACTGGAAGCCGAAAAAGAGGAGGACCAGGGCATCATCCAGCAACCCCAAGATGCCGAGTATGCCTGTCAACGGACACGACCACCGCAAAAAAGCAATTATCCAAACCCACCGTCATCACATGCATCCTGCAAATCCCATTGCGTGTATGCTTGTGCTCTAATTTAGTCAGATCAGTGTGTGTGTTTTAAATTTTCACCGGCCGGCTGCTCGCGATCTTCCCCACCGTTGAGCCCAGTCAACTTTTGAAGGGTTCAAGTGTAAATCCCAGGGTTCCCCTCCTGGGGAACTTGGCCCGCCCCCTCCCCCCCCCCCCCCCCAATAAAAAAAAAAAAAAAAAAAAAAAAAAAAAAAAAAAGTCAGATCTCAGATGACAGACCAGCCAGATCAACAAGTACACAACCTCCCGACAGGATCACATAAGCACAAAACGCATGACATCATCGACGGGATGGACAGAAGATCCAGTCCGTCAAAAACTGGCTGTAATGCGACCTGGGACCACAACCACCATTCCTTGCAGCGCTCAAGTGTCCCAAGTGTTTCACTCTCTTGGGATTCCTACCGTAATCCACCACCGGACAGGGCGTACGCCCTACGGGCTTTATCTCTGCATCTAGACTGAACCGTTGGCCCAAATGCAGTCAGTTATAATGACCATATACCGCGTACGTTCCACTCGGGGGAAGACGGTAAGGAAAACGACCGACACGACCTAAGTCACCTAACCAATGGAGTCCAAAAAAATAAAAACAAAAAAAAAAAGGATACAATACAAGATCGGACTGCCACTCGCTGTTCCATGCACCATTTGAGTGTCATAATGCCTCTCCTCCTGGAACTCTTGGGACCACCAACAATGCCTGACTCCTGGAACTCTTGGGACCACCAACAATGCCTCAGTGCTGGGACTTTTGGGACCACCAACAATGCCTCACTCCTGGAACAACTGGGACCACCAACAATACCTCAAGTCCTGAAACTCTTGGGACCACCAACAATGCCTCACTTTTGGAACTCTTGGGACCACCAAAAATGCCTCAGTGCTGGGACTTTTGGGACCACCAACAATGCCTCACTCATGGATAATTTTGGGACAACGGACAATGCCTCCGTCCTGGAACTTTTGGGACAACCAACAGGGTTCTGACTATCCTGAGAGTGCCGGGAAACCAGACATCAAGGAGCCTGCCATTTTAAGTGACCAGTGAGAAAGGCTCACTGGCTCAGTCGGCATTGTCTACGTCAGCACCCGTTACTTAGCTGCTTGACGGCACACACCGACACGAGGGCCTGTCAACGGACAAGTCATGAGTTCGAATATCAAAGTTGGAACACCATGATAAAATACCACTACTGCTGAGCCTGGATACAACGTACCAGCCAGACAGGCCTGCTGATTATAGCTGTCTTTCAACTGAAAGATACCCCAAATGCGGCTATAATGACCGTACGACGTACGTTCTATTCGGGCGAAGAAGGTACCTCTGAGCCCGTTTCGGGGAGAGGTTCTTGCAGGCCTGTCTGACTGGTACAAGAAAACAGTCTGGCTGGTCCCAGGAACCGTCTGACTGGTACCAGGCACAGCCTCCTCCTTGCAGACACCATGTCCTGATCGGGAACACACAGTCTGGCTGGTGGTAGGAACGAGGCACAGCCTTCCCTCCTCGCAGGCGTCATGTCTGGTCCCAGGCAGTGTGGGACTGGTACCAGGCACAGCCTTTCCATCCTTGCAGGCACCACGTCTGGTCCCAGGCACTGTCTGACTGGTACCAGGTACAGCCTCCGTCATGCACAGTCTTCCCTCCTTGCAGGCATCATGTATGATACGGCAGGCACTGTATGGCTGGTAGGAACGAGGCACTGCCTCCTTCCCTCCTTGCAGGGCATCATGTGTCGTCCCAGGCAGTGTGGGACTGGTACCAGGCACAGCCTTCCCTCCTTGCAAAAGCTCTGGTAAGGAAGATAGAGCCTGGTGCCAGCAAGACAGTGCCTGGGACCAGACATGGTGCCTGCTGCAAGCAGGCAAACTGTACCTGGAACCAGGTAAAGTGTACGTGGAACCAGGCAAACTGTACCCGGAACCAGAAGGTCTGTGCCTGGAACCAATCAGACTGCCCCTGGAACCAGGCAGACTGTGTGCCTGCAACCACCGTCTTCACCAGAATAGAACGCCCGGTCCTTATCGCTGTATCTATACTCCATGTTGGCCCAAATACAGCTATAATACCGGGCGTTCTCTTGGGGTGAAGATGGTGAGACTGTGCCAGGAACCAGACAGACTGTGCCCCTGGGAACTAGGCGGTCTGTCTGGAACCGCTCAGGCTGTCTGCCACTAGAAAAAGGCAGAATGTCCATGGAACCAGTCAGACTGTCTGCCACTAGAAAAAGGCAGAATGTCCCTGGAACCATTCAGAATG